GCATAAATAATCTACCATAGATATTTGTGTAAATATGTAAACATAGACATTTGTTTAAGCTAGATACCACAGACATTTGTGTAAATATATAACCACAGACATTTGTGTAAATTTATAAAAAGGGGACATTTTTGTAAATATGGAGTCATGGTCATTTGTTTAAGTATGTGACCACATACATTTGTGTAAATATGTTAACATAGTCATTTGTGTATTTGACCACAGACATTTGTATAAGTATGTAATCAAGGACAGCCATGGGCGACAGTGTAAATATGAAACCAAGCAAACATTGTGACACAAGATTAACCTAACCCGTTAGATGTTTTTTATACCAACACTCCAGTTGATTAACTCACCAGGTGTGTGTGTGTAAAATTTACCAGGCATTTGGTGTGGGGGAACTCACCAGGTGTGTGGTGTATGTGTGTGTGTGTGTGTGGGGGGGGGGGGGGGATACTTCCAGGGTGTTGTGTGGGGATACTTCCAGGTGTTGTGTGGGGATACTTCCAGGAGTTGTGTGGGGAAACTTACCAGGTGTTGTGGGGGAACTCACCAGGTGTGTGGTGTGGGAGAAACACAACAGGTGTGTGGTGTGGGGGGACTCACCAGGTGTTTGAGTAAGGTGGGTAAGATCTCATCCAATGCTCGCTGGCCAATATTGTGGTGAAGATTGTCAAATGTGTGGGCGGCGGCCGCTCGAACATCAGACAGGGGGTCAATGAGTCCTCGCCGAACTGTTGGGATCAGGCTATCAGCAAACACGGACACCTGGACATAGACAATTACATTCAGTACAGCCCCAGTGAGCGCAGGAATAAAATATACAATATTAATTAAATTTGTCTACAAGTGTAAGACGGATACATACAGTATTAACTAGAATCTCTACAAGTGTAGGAGTTGTGAACATACAACCTTAATTAAATATCTCTACAAGTGTATGAGTGGAACATACAACATTAACTGAATATCTCTACAATTGTAGGACTCATCGTGCAATATTAACTAGAATCTCTACAAGTGTAGGAGTATATATAAAACATTAATTAAATATCTCTACAATTGTAGGACAGATCGTGCAATATTAACTAGAATCTCTACAAGTGTTGGAGTAGTATATAAAATATTAATTAAATATCTCTACAAGTGTAGGAGTGGAACATACACCATTAACTGAATATCTCTACAATTGTAGGACTGATGGTGCAATATAAACTAGAATCTCTACAAGTGGAGGAGTAGTAAATAAAATATTAATTAAATATCTCTACAAGTGTAGGAGTGGAACATACACCATTAACTGAATATCTCTACAATTGTAGGACTGATCATGCAATATTAACTAGAATATCTACAAGTGTAGGAGTAGTATATAAAACATTAATTAAATATCTCTAGAAGTGTAGAAGTGAAATATAAAACATTAATTAAATATCTCTACAACAAGACTGAAACACAGCTTGGGCTGTGTCGAACACATATCATCTCTACAAACATAGCAGTGGAACAAAGTTACAGCTGCTGTGACGACCGTGCTGTGATATTTGTGTTATATAGATGTATTTTAAAATATTTTTAAAAGAACAATTGTCAAAAAAATGATGAAAGTAGAATTATTTAAATAAGGAAAAAAAAAACTATTATTGTTAAACAAAAATCAACCTACTAGAAAATGTTTAAATGTCAATGTTCCATAAAGTGTAATTTTGTTTTTAATGTGGGGGGGGGGGGGGGTGTAATGAACCGTACTGTTCATGGTGGCCTATGGTCACAGCAAGTTGGTCAGAAAACCCATGTAAGAGATGACGGGACACCCAGGGCTGGAGAGACGAACGAGAAAAGGCATGAGGTTGGCTCAAGGTCACAGCTGGACAGAAAACCCGTGCAAGAGATGACGGGACACCCAGGGCTGGAGAGACTGGCGAGAAAAGGCATGAGGCTGGCTCAAGGTGACAGCAAGCTGGACAGAAAACCCGTGTAAGAGATGACGGGACACCCGGGGCTGGAGAGACTAGCGAGAAAAGGCATGAGGCTGGCTCAAGGTGACAACAAGCTGGACAGAAAACCCGTGTAAGAGACGACGGGACACCCGGGGCTGGAAAGACTAGCGAGAAAAGGCATGAGGTTGGCTCATGGTCACAGCGGGACAGAAAACCCGTGCAAGAGATGACGGGGACAAACCCAGGGTTTGGAGAGACGAGTGAGAAAAGGCATGAGGTTGGCTCATGGTCACAGCGGGACAGAAAACCCGTGCAAGAGATGACGGGACACCCGGGGTTGGAGAGACGAGCGAGAAAAGGCATGAGGTTGGCTCATGGTCACAGCGGGACAGAAAACCTGTGCAAGAGATGACGGGACACCCGGGGCTGGAGAGACTAGCGAGAAAAGGCAAGAGGTTGGCTCAAGGTCACAGCTGGACAGAAAACCCGTGTAAGAGATGACGGGACACCCGGGGCTGGAAAGACGAGCGAGAAAGGACGAGGTTGGCTCAAGCTGGCAGAAGTTATGAAGGACATTAGCCTGTGTTTTCCTGAAGAATTGTATCTAATCTATTTCTGTATAGTAGTTTTGTTTGGACAAGTTAAGAAGCATGATGCCAACCAAGAATGTTGAACCCTAGAGGAGCTGATGCTGCGTGAGCCGATGGTAAGTGGTGTCCATAACCACAGAGCTGGGACGAGCATTAGAGAAAGTTCCAAAACTGAAGCTGCGAGAGGACACACATCATCTCTACAAACACAGAGCTGACTCATAACCACAGAGCTGGGACGAGCATTAGAGAAAGCTCCAAAACTGAAGCTGCGAGAGGACACACATCATCTCTACAAACACAGAGCTGACTCATAACCACAGAGCTGGGACGAGCATTAGAGAAAGTTCCAAAACTGAAGCTGCGAGAGGACACACATCATCTCTACAAACACAGCAGTGGAATAGAGTGAGGACTGAGAGAGGGAAGACAATAACATAACACTCACATGGTCCTTTGCTGGTGGAGGCCATGATCTCCGAGAGTCCCAATACAAACTCCTTGCCTCTGGTCAGCATCCTCTGAGTCCAGACCACTCTCCAGGATGGGGATGATCTCTATAGCAGGACCCTCATCTCCCAGTTTCCTCACCAGATCACCCAGAGTACGTGCGGCCACCTGCAGGCAGTACAAGCATAGTTCTGTGAGCCACTGTTCACTGAAGGACCCGCAATATATTGTCAGCCTCTCTCGTCGTTGTTTGCGTTCACCGGCCAAAACTCTGGTGCAAAGACCTAGTTGTAGTCCATTTCTGGACTTTTGCTTTGTTCCAGGACCTGAGTTCGCAATGTGCATCCATTTGACCAGATCCTGATTATTATGTATGCCGACTGCTGGTCCGGCCTCTCAGGCAGATGCATTAGACTTCAAAGGTGGTGCATTCATTTCTGTATAGATTCTGCATGTCAATAAAAAAAACTACCCACTTTTTCTGTCGTCTCACACTGTACCAGGTTATAGCCCGTTTCATGGGTTTTTGGTATTAGTTTTCAATTTTCAGGTGGTTTTCTTTTTTGCAGGTTGCAACTACACTATTTTTCCATATTTTCCGGGGGCTTCCCTTTTCATCCAAAAGTTTGGGGTTAAAAACCCCCCGAAAATTCAGTTGGCTGGGATTTCACTAGATGGCCCAAAAAATTTCAATCTTTCTCTGGCAATATAATTTAGACAGGTTTTTAAACAGCTTTGGCTCCCCAAAAAATAACCTTGGGGGACTGTGTTTTTATGACCTTAAAAGAAAATAACGCAATTTTTCTGGCAAATTTTTTTTTTGGCTTTAGGCCCTTTTTATTTCCCCGTTTGGGGACT